GTCAAACCATTAGTGGAGAAAGATGTTTTTGGCAGCAGAATGGTGTCACTGCATCTGCTGGCGAAACCTTGACTCTTTTTGGCAAAACCATGACTTGCTACGTGCTATTACTGTGCAGGTGGTATTAAGGTACACTTTCATTGTAATGATCATTTGATTGGACTACATTTTAGTCATTTTGATTTCTTCCTTTCATGCTTTCAAAGTTATATTCATCATACTGCAGTGCTGTATCAACAGCAGCTACGCTATGTCATGTTATCTGAAATATTCAGCCAGCTGCTGAAAGTCATACATGAGAATATTTTATTACATTGTGAACATAGCTGCTGATTTGCATACAAGGTAACCTTAAATGAAACCAAAACTCAAATTTCAAAATAACATCAGAAGCAGCCTGATCCACTTATTGCTACACTGTATAATACTTTTGGTGTCACTTTCTCTCTCTGTTTGAACACAAAACACTTTGACAAGAAGCCCATGGCTAGTCTTTAAAGTCTATTTTTATCCTGCATCCAATGACAGAAGGAAAGGTTGAATGTCAAAGCTAAAATCAAAGCTGCTCACCTGAGGCTTAACACAATGTACATTCAGTTTGTTCTCATCACCATTGTCATGGGCATATGCGCCTATTAACATCATCAGTAAATTAAGAAAATGGCAGTGCGAGAAGGCAATGATTTATTATCAGTAAGGCACAGGAACTCAGTAAAAATGCCGTCCTGTTTTGTAACATCATTAATTGTTCAAGCATGAGATGACCTACAATTATCAAACCTTCTATATTGCATCATGTTGATTCCTGTTATTTAGTTGATCCACTCTAATTCCTGACTGGAGGGTTGAAAATCTTCCGCTAAGCTTAATTAGCGATCTTTGTTATGAAGATACGCGGGCCTATTGCCTTTAAATTGACGAGAGGCACTGCCAGGCAACACACGGCTGCATCACTTTGCATTCATAGCTCTTTTTAAGCCTTCAGATTGTATTGCAAATATTTGATGCTAATTTCTGAGTTAATTCCATTATCTGGGTATGCTCGCCGTATGATGTACCGTGCATTTTAAGTGATAATTAATGGCTGTTTTTTATTAGGAGAATCTTTTTGACCTTGGTCTTTTGTCTTGGTTTTAAAAAAAAATGAGTTAAAGTGTTTTGCAATTGACTGCGCGACAGAAGATACGAATAAAGAACTAAAAAGAATCACCTTTGTAATCATGAACAATAGCAAGCTCGAGCGTAACTGTCCAATTTAATTAGCCTCAATGTAATACTATTCTTGAAGAATCAAGGCTAAATCCATTCAAATATGGCATTGGACTTTTTCTCTTGCATTAAAGAAAAAAGAAGAAGAAGAAGAATAGGGATATACGTGTTACAAAAAAGAGACACAATTTAGCAAGATCACACAAGTGTGAGGGATAATCCAGAGCAAATTTAATACGATGTGGAGGCAAAGAATCAAGAAACACTGCAGTTGTGGGAATTAGCCTACCTGCATTATCTGTGCTGCGTCTCTAATAGTGAAGCTGTGATTTAATGTCTTCAGACATTGTCATTAAATATATAAACTGTCAATGTATATGTAAATATAGATATTTATAATGTAAACATTTATCCTGTCATACTTTATTCATAATAGCAGCAATAGAGGATGACGTGTTTATGAAATTGCAGCCAGGAGTTAGTAAAACATGCTCACTTTTTACTTAAATCAAGGTGACGATCGTGGACATATTAGTGGGAATGAACTGTTAGTTTGTGGCCACAAAATAATGTTTTTCTTTTCTTTTCAGATTTTAAAAGTTGTGTAGTGAATTCCAGCCTTTAGCTATTTTCTTGATAAATGTCACAGAGCAGCAAGTTTTTGTACTCCTGATTATTTTGGTGTGAGCAGGACCATACATGTGCTACAGTGAAGGCAGTGAATTAATTTAAAACATTTATCTGACTGGAGCCATATGTCCACGATTCCAGCCAATCAGATTCAAGTATTGGTAAGACCATTGAAGACTTACCAAGACCATTGGTAAGTGAAAGTGACGTGACATGTGGCCAAGTATGGTGACCCATATTCGGAATTAGTGCTCTGCATTTAGCCATCCAAAGTGCACACACACAGCAGTGAACACACACCCGGAGCAGTGGGCAGCCATTTATGCTGTGGCGCCCGGGGAGCAGTTGGGGGTTCGGTGCCTTGCTCAAGGGCACCTCAGTCGTGGTATTGAAGGTGGAAGATTCACATTCACTCCCCCCACCTACAATCCCTACCGGTAGGAGACTCGAACCCGCAACCTTTGGGTTACGAGTCCAACTCTCTAACCATTAGGCCACAACTTCCCCAAATATACAGTAATATACAGTTGTGGTCATAAGTTTACCTAAATCTTGCAGAATGTTAATAATTTGATCAAAATAAGAGGGATCATAAAAATAGTAGTTTGTTTTTGTTAATTGTTAATTAATTGTTAATACATAAATATTGAGTAATTCAGTTACATGTCTGACAAAAACTGACCTTCTGGCAACTAAAATGGAAAAGAAGCACATCAAGCTTAGAAGAAGCCTCAGATTTTATTTTCTGCCTCTCTGAAAGTATTTTATTTTATTTTATTTTTTCTTATTTGAACAACAGTAATTTTAAATGCAATGACAATTGATTTAATATCCAAAGGCTGTTTTTAACATTCCATCTACACAAGCGGGGTAGGTGACGGCTTCTTTGATTATAATTGGAGAAACTATGCAGAAACTCAGTGGAGAACTGCAAGCTCAAAAAGCCATGTGAAATTGCTCAAGGGACCCCACTCTGCGTCAATATAGGCAATGATTATAATGGGAGCATTTTGGAGTCTGTCATGTTGCGTCATTAGCAAAGTAGGGTGTCACTCTGCACACTCTGAATATGTGTGTCAAAGACACGGCCGGTGCGATGAATATGAACATGGAGGATAATTGTGCTGGGTTGCATTTTATACTATAGTTTGAGTTTTAAAGTGGAAGAACGTTTTTCATTCTGTTGTTTTTTTTATCATCACGGACATGGAAGCGAAAGTTAATTTTCTCAAAGGCCTAAGGATCATTAGATAGCCTATATGATACATTAATACTGATTTGATAAGTTTTACTAGGAGGCAGGTCTGTAATTAAAATAGGCCATACAGTTTATTATGGCTAAGCATTTTAGATGGACCACGTTCACACAGCAGCAGACTATGGTTGTCAGTCCTGTATTTGAGTCCTTTAATACACTCTAAAAAATGCTGGGTTAAATACAACCCAGTGCTGAGTAAAATAGGGACAAACCCAGCAATTGGGTTGTTTTGGCCCAGCGGTTGGGTTAAATGTTTAACCCAACCTTCTGGGTAGTAACCCAAACGCTGGGTCAAAACAGCACAATTGCTGGGTTTGTCTGGGTTGTATTTAACCCAGCATTTTTTAGAGTGTACAGTTACATTCACACACAGTTTGCTTATTTATGCATTCTATAACCAAACTCAGAATATTTCGAGACTCACAAATGTAAGTAAATGTGGTTGTCAATCCCAAACACTGACAGTGTTTATTTTTCTAGTGTTAGCTGTGTACTAACGTACACTCTAAAAATGCTGGGTTATTTCAACCCAACTTTGGGTCAAATTTGGACTAACCCAACTTTTGGGTTAAAAATTTAATGTAAAAATTTAACCCATCAGTTGGGTTAGTCCATATTTGACCTAAAGTTGGGTTGAAACAACCCAGCATTTTTTAGAGTGTAGCCATTGGTAATATTCCACGATTACCAATTTCATATGTAAATGTAATGGAAAGGCCTGTGGGGAATGAAATTAGTAAAGTACATGTGCTCAATGACACATTTATTGAAACTTTGATTTAATTCGCTTGAGAAAGGTATTATGCATAATCATGAATAAGTTAAATTTTTGGAATTTGCCTATATTCTTTTATCAAATCTATCAGTGTAATGTAGGCAAATTAAACAGGGCTAGAAACATGTTCAGTGCACAATTTAACTTGTTTACTGTATATCAGTGTCTAAAATGGCTCATGGGCTCAATGTCTGATTTTGTCGCCAAGCAATGCATAGACTGACGGTCTGTTGGAAACAGAGTTGGAGTGGAACGATGACAATTTGCCCTCCTCACTCAAAATGATCTGTGAAACGTCCCAGTATGTTTATGGTAAATATCAGAATGTCAGTTGCCCAATCAAATTGTAGCGCAAGAACTCTTAATAATCTGTATAACCTCGTATATACAGCATCTGACCAAGAGAGTTAGTGGGAATAATGCTGTGTGTGTGTGTGTGTGTTCGAGGGCTCATGTGAATGCTTCAGAGCTTTTTTAATTCATTCCAAAACTCTTTAATTTAACAGGAATATCAATGAAAGGAGAAGATATGGCTGATGAACAGCCGGACAAGGAAAAAAGAAAGAAAGTGTCATAAATGTGTTGTTGGAACATGGCTTAAGGGCCAGGGCTGTTGTACCAAAATCACAGGCAAAAATAACTGTTACTCCGACTTGCATATTGAGATTCACAGTGCTTTGAAGGGAATTGGAATCGAGCATATATGCACTTTCTCAGTGCTTCAGGTTTTATAAATATTTTTCCAATTCACTTTCAGCTCTGAGATTAACAAAACAATGTTACACACTTTGATTTGAACATATTTTATCAAGGAATGGACCACAATCCCAAGACGATGTGAATGACGTAATCAAATAAAGAACACAAATAACACTATGCACTGTAAACTTGAAAATCTCAAAAGATTTGATGCCATGAACAAGGCAATCGAGTGAATACTGGTGTGTGGTGGGCGTTCTGGCACAATATGGCTGCCGTCGCATCATCCAGGTGGATGCTGCACACTGGTGGTGGATGAGGAGATACCCCCTGACAATGTAAAGCGCTTTGAGTGCCTAGAAAAGCGCTATATAAATGTAATGAATTATTATTATTATTATTATTTCATCCTCAAAAGCACTCATGTCTTGTAAGCCCCATTATCATGTAAACACAACATTTTTGCTAGGCAGCCTGATAAAAAAGCTCTTACTCCCAGAAGTCATACAAAGCCAGCCAATCAAATTAGACCTTGCCAGATCAAGAAAATGATTTGCAGTTATGTGCGCAATATGCATCAAACAGTCAGTGAATGGATTTTAGGCAGTCTATAGAATGTGAGGTTTAATGTTTGAAAAAGTGGCCTGGAGGGGGTGGAGGGGGTACAATTCATGTGAACACCAGAACAATTAGCAACTGTCCTAACTAATGGATGTTTATGGATTATGTTGTATAATAAAAAAAATGTTTACCCACTTTTTGACCATTTATCGGTCAAATTAACCTCTTAATCATCACATAAAAATTCAGCAAACTGGTTTGCCACTTTACATATATCTTTGATAGTTATGCAGACAAATACAATGAAATTATGATGTATGAATTATCCAGCATACAGTACATGAGAACTCCTTCAGAACTGCTTAAATCAGGTAGGTATGACATCTGCTAGTAATCACAAACGTAACACTTCTCTGTCAAGAGAGCAAGCTAACAATAGTTAATTGTCAGATTTTAAAATGTGAGCAGGAAAGGGCCATCCCCAACTCCTACATTTATACACTGAATGGACCCTCTGTTTCTAGCGCATTCCAATGAATATACAACAGCTTGAAAGCAATCTGGGAGACCACATATTATCATTCTCAAACCGTTTCATGTCAACGGCAGTGCTAAAGTCAGCAGAAGGTAAAACATTTCTTTTAAAGTTATACTCTATTCTGCCATTTTAGGATTCGGATGCACAGAACATATATACTATGCAAGCATTCTTTACTTCCTCAAATGTTGTAGGAAATGAAGTGTCAAGCTCTCTTATGTCATAATTTTTAGGGTGGGAAACAAGTTTAAAATGTTGTCACTATTAGCAAGACAGACACGTATTTCATCCCCAGGAGCGCTCTGTTTACAAAATATATTAAACTGAAATCCAGAAAAGGCATGGTTGCAAAATGAATTGGCGTGAATTGCAGCAGCATGATTTTGTAATCACAGCTCTTGATTCATGTTTCAGAGTGAATGCTGTTCCTCTGTGTCTACTGAAATCACTTTAATAGTATGTCTATTTTACAGGTCACCACTGTGTTTGCAACTAAGCTGAAGTCTTTCACCTTTGTGCCACTTCTAAAAAGACTGCCTGTTGAGAACAAGGTTTGGAAAAAGGTACTTCAGGCAAGGAGACCAAACAAGGTAAGAACTACTCTTGAGACAGCTCAGTATGGTTCCTGTTATGTATGCCATATTGTGTCACGCAAAAGCATGAGAGGAAAAAACATCACACTACAGGGGCCCGTTCTTCGTACGTTGCTAACTCGGTTAGCTGGATTTGATTGTTGACGATTTCGCTTGATCTTGGATCATTTGGTTCTTCGAAGCTCATCCCGGAGTTGCTGTCATGGCAACAGGTCCGTAAGATTAATGAATGTAAACAGAATTATATTGCATCTTTTAAAGCAGATTTGATACTTAAAATCTGTCCCAACCACTGCTACTTTATTACAAGAGTACCCTACTAATACAGGGACAATAATTTAAAATAATAACAATTTAAAAATTAATTTGAAAATAATATAATAATGTTTGCTGCACACATCTGAATATTAGGGTTGAACTGTTCTGGAACAGTGCTGTAAATACAACTTAGCCACTGATTTCTAGTTTTTTAATTATACGATGTCATTACGTTGCTGTCTTGCCGCCAGCCAATCGCTGCATTGCTGATCGTGGTTTCGAGTATCGATACATCTGCCCTTTTCGGGGAACAGACACGAGAACAAGCAGTAATCTTACCCCGGGAACAGGTTAATTATTTACTTTGTGCTTTTCCAAACCAATATGCTGTTATTTTTTTCCATGGAACATGAATGTATTGAAATCTTTACACAGCTCTTGCCGTATAATGACAGTCCATGTGAACAAGCTTACAAATAGCACTATAGAAGTGTCATAAAATCAGTCCATATCACTTATGTGCTATATTCCAAGTCTTCTTAAGTCATACAGTAACTTTCTGCGAAGAACCGACCCAAAACTTACCTTTACCTCCACTAAAGTAAATATAGTGCCTTGTTTAATTATTCTTACCCCATAAATTACTTTTTTTCACATCAGTCTGCACTCCAGACACCATATTGAAAAAGCAAAAAATAAATAAATAAATAAAAATTAGCTCAGGAGCATTCATATCACATGTAGATGTTACTACTCTTTGAATTGCTTTAACCTGTGGTAAATTCAATTGAATGGGTATGATTTGGAAAGGCACACACCCTTCAATAAAAGTTCTAACAGCTAAAAATGCATTTGAGCAAAACCAAGTCCTGAGGTCAAAAGAACTGCCTGTAGAGCTTATGAATGAATTATGCAATGTACTTATTCCAGTTTTTCCTTTTTCCTTTTTAAATGTGCATAGTTGTCACATCTGTTTTTTGCCTTGTTGTTATGGTGTATGTAGTGTAGATTGATGTGAAAAAAAGTCATTTAAAGAAGTTTAATATAAGGCAGCAACATAACAAAATGTGAGAAAATGAAGGCGTGTGAATACTTTCACAAGGCACTGTAACAGCATCTGGGTTTCAAAAAAACAGGGTGAGTACGTAATACCAGAATTTTTATATTTGGGCAGACTATTCCTTTAAGCTGCAAATACTGCACATATCTAGAGGGAGTGAGACTTTAGTGATTACGGGTTCTTAAGTTCTACCCAGAGTCCCTTAGCAGAGGATGACCTATGTGTGTGTGTGTGAAAGCGAAAATGTGAAAGGCATTTGCTGAAGGCTTACACAATTAGGGTGGGTCATGTGTACTTGTATGTAAGCAATACATGAGGGACATGGACTTCTGGAAAAAAGATGTACAAGCTCGAAGGGGAAACACACGCACATATAAATGCATTCAGTGACTCTCTTATATCAAGATGCTCGGGAGCTAGAAATAGCCATCCGTAGCAGAGGCCTGCTTTGGGATGGCTGCCGTTTCTGATTTGGTATCGCATAGTAACATTTCCTGTTCCAATGCCAGACTTCACAAGAGCCAGAGGACACTGAGAGAAGCATGGCGGAAGAGGGTGTCTACAAAGCAGAGGTTGTTTACGTCCAAGACCCTGAAGAGGGCCAGCTTGAAGAAACGCTCAAGAACACCACTCAAAGTGAGGTGAGTGTTTTGGTACATTCTGTCCCAGGGCAAACACAAACTCCTGATGAAACATTATTCTTTAACTCCCTGCTGTACCTTCTTTAAAATTGCATATTATAAATATGTAATGACAAAATGACTGACCAGGAAATAAGTTATTGAAGCAATGACTTTTCAAGAAGTACAGTAATTTAGAGATGAATTACTGTTTGTAGTGTACAGCATAATTATTTGAGTTGCTTTGGGATGACTTCTTAATATCTTTTAATGGGATACATCATGATATTAAATATGCTGGTCACACACGGCTGTTTTCTGTGCTGATCAGAGGTACTTGCGATCCCCTGTTAATTAAAAACACACATTAGTGCGCCTATACAGTAGATCAAGTTCTGAGCAACTGATGGATAAGAATGTTTCTTGTGCCTAATTAATCTGTGCCACTAATGTCTAACATAACATAGAATTATAACCTTGATATTTAAGTATAGATTTGCAAAAGCACGACTGAATCCGCTTGTCTGAAATTTGCATTGGTCAACAGGTGCCTACATCACAGTGTATTGCAGCAAAAATTATTGGTTGCATGGTTACTTAAAGCTGGGAAATGCTTCTGATGCAGCGGGAGCTTTAATGTGTAGATAGCCTTTCAATATCGCCTATAAAATCAAACAGGCCCATTAATAAACCCCATGGGGTCTTTATGTTTTGTACAATTTGCAGTAAGCAATAATCAGACATCATTACAGTCATTGCTCAAATGAAGTCTGTTTATGGTTCTTTAATTTTCTTTCTTTCTCAGATTCTGTCAGCTGACAATTTAACCCTTAAACCACTCACCACGCTAGCTGGGCTTCACGCAGAATCTGGTAGCATAACCCCCGAGCCTAGCCCAGCCACCATGGAAACCACTGATAACAAACACCCTGGCATTTCTCAGCTAAGCTTTCACAACACTTCACAGGCTGCTGAGGTCAGCTCAGGTCTGTTTTTAAGTAGCTCAGCTCAGAGAGAGGAGGTCCTTAGCCCTGCCAGCTCCATGGATTTTTTCACTTCCCCTGCTTCTTCTAAGGAGTCTATTCTCTCCGAGGGCTGGGACAAGGAGAGGAGCTGGTCAGGGCTCCACATGTTCTCACGGGATGGTTCTCCTGGGCCCTTTAGTGGCACGGTTTCCCCATGTTCTTCCATAAGATCCGGGGCCTTCACACCTTCTGTGGTAAGAATCAAGAGACACTCCTTGGCTCCGGGCTCTAGTCTGCTGCAGATGTCATCTGCTTGCGAAACACCCTGCTGTGACAGTCGGGCAACCTCACCCTGTCCTCTTACACCCCGTGCCCGGCACAGACTCCCTCCAACCCAGCTCTCCCTGTTAACGGCCATCCTCAGGAAAGGTCGTCTACCTGTCCTGTCCTCTGCTTTTCAAAGACCTTACACACCCTGCTGGCCCATCAGTCCAGTTAACGTGTCCTCCTGTTCAGCATGCTCAGCTGCCTCTTCTGTTGCACCCATGAACGTCTCTAAAGCAAAGTCTTGTACCTCCATAGATAGACCCCGTACTGAGTCTTGCCAGGTTTCAAAGACACAACTACGGAAACCAGACCATAGTTCTCTTTCAGTGTCATCAATGGTCAAGGCACCTGATGAAATCCCACTAATGAAACCACCAGAAAGACTTGACTCACGTCAACATTTCACTAGTACTAGTCACATCGTTTCACCTACAAAACACAGCCCTTCACCAAGCTTACCTAGAGTCCAGCCTACCAATTCTCACCTGTCGAAATCAGGTCACAAAGGAAATCGTTTACCGACAGTTCCTAGCTCTCTTTTGTGCAGCTCCCTATCCCGGATGAACTCCTCATCTCCTAAATCAAGCTCTCTGTCTTGCTCCAGCCCTGAGAACCAGAAAAATCCATCAGTGTCAGTGGATCGCCTTGCATCTATAGAACCAAACAAACCTTTAGCATCCTTAATGCAGAACGATGAAACAAAATCCCATGATAGGTCAGAAAAATATTCACTGGCACTAAAACAGGGTCAGAAATCATCTGAGCTCTCCAATGCACCATATCTGAAAGATAGAGGTAGTTCATCTGACAATTTGGACTCCTCTGTATCAAAACCTGCACAAAATTCATGTAAATCTTCTTCCTTTCCTACTCTGAAACACACAATTGAATTGCATAGTAATTCCATATCTCCGGTTTTAAGTCACAAGGAGAGTAAACAAAATATTGGTGGCAAAAGTCATATCGAAAGAGTGCACCTATCATCCCCGGCTTTTAGACTGTCTCCCTCTCCCAGACCCGTGGGTCTCACCCGCCTGTCCTACACACCTCCAGCCTCTCCTGCTTGTCCCCCAGTCCACCCAAACTCCCGCTCCTCCACCCTAGACCGCTGCACCCTCTCGCCCTCCCCAGCGGTCCCAAGCCGTCAGCTCTCCCCCTCACCCTCATACTCCTTCTGTTCATCACCCTCTCCGTCCCTATGGGGCAGCACACCAGACTGCGCAGATGGGGACTGTAAAAATAGAAAGGTACAGTGCATGCCCTTTTGCCATTACCTGCATGCAACTTGCATGCTCTACTGCTGAGCATTGGCATTCCTTCAATGAGTGACATGCATTCTCAATCACAGCCTCCCACATTGCTGGGAAACATGATATGCATCATACTCGTGCAAGAACAGTAAATCTTTGGCAAAGGGCATGTTTTGCGTTTGCTTGTGATCTTGGTTTAGGCAAAATTTGCATGATTTACTGCAAATATTTACTGCGAATATACTTAAAAATGGTCATATCACAGTTTTTCTACCATCTTATTGTGATATGACTGTTTTTCAAATGAATCATGGCGCCCATCCTTAGGGCATAGCACAGCTGTAGATTGTTTAATTCTGCTTTTGACTTTCTTTGACTTCTAAATCATTCTTTCCTAATATAGACATACAAGATCAAATCCACCTACAAGGCACTCGCTGCTATTCCCACAAATACTCTGCTCCTGGAACAGCAGGTGAGCTGCTTTATCTAATTGATCTAAATGACAGCTATTATTAGTGTACAATTAATAATTGCATATCATTCGCTGTCAGTATAATGCCATTATATGGCTGCTGTTTTTCTGGATTCCATGCAATTGTATAGTCGTTAAAGAGGGTCATTGGATGCTAATGGAGGAGGGTGAAACTAAATCATTGATTTTTGTTGTTGTTGATGGACAGCAGAATGAAATTGTTCATAAGTGGTCAAAAGGAATCTCAACAGAGTGAGCAGAATGACTCATCCACATTGCATACCTCATTAAACATTATAGTAGAGGTTAAAATGTACTGGACAGGGTCAGAGATATAGTGAGATAATCAGTATATGAAGAGAACACACTCAACTTTGGGATTTAGCCGCTTTAACAACCCCTTACTACCTACCCACTTGTTAAGGTCAGAAGGACTATCATTAGAAGATAATCTACTCTTAAATTTCCCCTTTCTGAAGGCTTTAGATGAAGAGGTCAACAAGAAAGAGGCTTCATTTAACCCCGCGGACAACTATTCTTGGGAGGACCCACATGCAGAGGTAGAACGAGACCCAAACACCCAAAATGCCTGGGTGATATGACAGAATACAGTGCAGTGACTGCTAGAACCTCTAGAGAATTTGCTATATTATGGTATATTTTGGTTTTAACTCGAATGTTATATAAAATGAAGTAGCTATGCTACCCCTGCTCTACCATGTAGGGACATGTAATACCATGTAAATGTTAAATTTTTTAAATTCTTTCGCCCATCGCTGTCCAATTAAACAGATTTAGTAATGAAATGAGATGAAGTACCATTAAGTTGTGAAGTATTTAATGTTGTGGATTATCCCAAACTAGCCATTACTGTGAAGTGTTCTTCTCTCTGTGTAGATGTGCTCTCCTGCGCAGCTGCGTCAGCAGACCGCAGAACTGTACGCAACCATTGATGAAGTCCTCGAGGACTCGATCCAAAGAGTGAGCTGATACCAAAACACACTCTGCATCTAAACAATAATCCATTTATACACCTTCACCTGCATCTTCATATTTGAATCCATTTTTCCCAGCATCAATCAGACCATGTGAACAAAGCCAATGTGAAGTCTTTGGCAGCGGAGGCATCAAGGGTATGACATTAAAGATTAACACCGAGAATTACCTCATCTTCATTTTGATTAGTCACAATGGCATCACATTCAGGCAGAATATAAATTATAGAGCTTTCTAGGAATAAAATATTTCTTGTTTGTGTGTATAACAGTGTAACTGCCTTTCACCCAGACTAAAGCATTGCAATGACTGAACTGTAAAATATATTTTCCCACCCAGAAGAAGACATAAAAGAGAAATAAATACATCAATGTAATAGAATGTCATACAGATTTTTTTTGTGCTACAATTTGCTGATTATTTTCAATGAAGACCAATGTTAGCAAAATGAAGAATTCAGTCCTCCACTCCGATCAGTCTTTAGCCAGGTACCTTTTAGCCCCTGCTGTTCAAACCCAGCTTGCCATTTTGATTATGTGCACTGTGCTTGCTTTGAAACGTGTGCCACTTTTCAGCTGCTGAGAGCTTTCTTAACTCATTCTTTTTCTTTTATTCTGAACTACTGAAGTCAGAGACGTCATCACCATCTCCAAAACTATTGGGACGGGAAACAAGATATGTACGTTTTTCCATTCATTTTTGATCTCTGCACATATTTTACGCTCAGACTTCATACGAAGGCGGCAAATCTGAGAAATCATTCATTATAAAAACTCTCTTGAGTATTAGTTATCAGTTAATGCTGAAATGCCAGCTCAGGGCTCTAGAAATTTAGCTAACACTTGCTTTAGCCCATTTTCAGAGCCAGTTCTAGTAGTCAAACTATTTTTATATGCCAGTGAATCTGAACATGCAAGTCAATCTAGAGCCCAGATTTGATATTTTTTACTTGTAGATTTTAGACAAAAGCATAGAAAACTGATTGGATGCACAGTCTTTGATGTCAACAAGATGTCACTCCTTTTTATTTTGCAGTAGGTACTATGCACAATTATATGGTTGCATTTTATTAGCCACATTTTTCCCCTGCGGTTCACAACCCTGTCAGAACAGACCCGCAACACATTTTGGGGTTTTAACCCACCAGTCTAGAAATTTCACTATAACACTCAAAAATGTATGTAGCCTTCAGAGTATTCATTCAGATTCAATTCCATTATCCAGCCTACAGCATATGCCACCGCACTAGAATTACAGAAGTGTACAATTACAATTCGGCTATAAATTGGGTGCTTTTACTCTTGCTAGGAACTTCCAGCCATGTTTAATTCTTCCTTTGTTTTTACAGTAAAGCTAGAGATAAGGTGGCTTGTGTGAGGTTGTAGGTTTCCTAACCTTTCCTGAGGTATTCACTTTATAATAATGGCATTTTAGACCCATGTTTACATTCTGAGAGCAGAATTTCATTTGGACAATTTGCCTGGACAATTGTAGCAAATTTTCTTGTCATACACAAATGACAGGATTTGAAGAGTTCATTTGTTCCTGTTGTTCCACAGGTTTTGGCGACATGATGATTTTAAGGGAATATTACAAACTCTGAAAAGATTACAGACATAGAGGGGTCCATAGCTGAATAATATGATATAAAATCAATAATATTAATCACTTCAAATAACATTACAATTAAGAAGATATTGTGGAAGCACTTGTTTCAAAACTATGTCCAGATAGCGTATCAATAGCATGTCAAATGTAAAATAATGTTTAATATTCACAATTTTATAATTCCCCCCCCCGTAGGCAAGCTCTCCTTTTCAACCCTCTGTAACTACGGAAAAAACACTGGTAAGCAGTTGATATTGATGCAAATGAATTTGAGCTTCATATTTATTTTGCATTGATAAGAAACCTAAGTTTTTGCTACATTATACCATTCAGTAGATATGGAGTGATGATTTTGTAAAAGAATTGGGGAAGACCATTGTTGGCTCTGTTCCTAAAGAGCTGCCTGAGTAGGTAGCATTTGAAAGCATCATGCACTTCTGACATAAAGGCTGATCTAGACAGAATAAATGCAGCACAATTACGCTGTGCTATCCGATACCTGCATGTATTCTTCATGGAAAAAGTGAAAGAAAAAAATCAAGATGCAGTATGAACCAGGACATGTTTGTTATAAATAAATATAATTAATTCAGTACTCAAAAATATCCATAAAATAGTTACATCTAATTACAGTTTTTTCCCCCCAATTGTTTTTACACGTGTTTGCTGAATCTTTGGCCCATTGCCTCAAAACACTAACACAAACACAAAATGCAAAGCTCTGCAAATCTCTAACAAAAGCAGACACTGCATTCAAAACTCTTTTATCTCTTTCCAAAATGTTTTTCGCACCAAAATGTCACACAAACACACACACACACATTTGTTTCTGTGAATTGTGGGGACTTTCCATAGACTTCTATTACTTTTATACTGACCAAATTATATTTTCTATCCCCTAACTCAACCCTAAACGTACCCCTTACAGAAAAACTGTTTGCATTGTTACACTTTCAGATAAACATCATTTACTATTTTTAATAATTTTGTCCCTCATGGGAACCACATGCTGTTCCCCACAATGTCAAAAATTTCAGGTTTTACTATCCTTGTGAGGACATTTTGTCCCCACAATATTGCATAAACAAGTGCACACACACACACACACAGAGAGACACACACAGACAGACAGACAGACAGACAGACAGACAGGCACGCACGCATGCACATTTTCACATAAAGTCTTTTTCAATCGCTAAAATGCACTGATCAATACTGAAGCCACTTTTTCAAAATTCGCCATACAGTCTGCATTGCAAATATGAATCTTGGTCAAACAGTTAATTTTACTTCCAAAACTTGTTCAAACTACCACAACACTCCATACATATAAGCCTGTTCAAGCACAACAATTCTGTCTCAGAAAATGCAGTAATGCATCATTCATTTTTTAACAAAGCAGTGTGTTAGCATTAAAAATGTGCTGCAAATATACAGTACAGGGTTTTACAAGTGACTGAAAGACAAAAGGGTTCATGGTTTTTGTGTAAAAGCAATGAAAAATTATGGTTCTAGTCTTGACTGATGCATGATAGCAAAAAAAAAAAAAACCTGTAAGACAGGTTTAAATTAAAGCTGCTTTGAAATCTACAACATATCCCTAAACTGTGCAAATGAATGTAACGTACATTTCTAAAAAAGTTGGGACATTTTGTAAAATGCAATCTGTAATTTGTTAATTCTGCTTAATCTTTATTCAACTGACAAAACTACAAAGAAAAGATTTCCAATGCTTTCTCTAATCAACCTAACCTAAAAGTGAAAAGACTATAGAATATCTAAGTTAAAATGTTTTGAAACATTCCGCGATAAGCAGACAAACTGGTAATAGGTGAGCGTATCCACACAAAAAAAACTCAGTCTTCGCAAGCAAAGATGGGTTGTTGTCATGCTGCGGTGATATAAACACATGAAGAAGATTAAGATAAATGCAAATAGTCTTTAATAAATCCACACAAGGGTAAATCCAGGACAGAACAGGCAAGAGACACACATAGGGAAGAACATAGCAGACCGGACCGCAAACAGTGGACTGAACACAACTTAAACAGGTTGGTAAATGAGGATAATTAACAAGACACACCTGAACCAAATGACAATCAGACATAGACGTAAAAACTGGGTCACACAGAGCACATGGGGGATGAAAACACAACAAACGGTCCTGGGGTGTGACAGTTGTGGCTCATCACTTTGTGCCACTTTGTACCACTTAACAAGATAATTGTCAAATCATTCAAAAATAACATTTCTCGGTGCAAGATTGTTAAGGATCTATCATAATATTGTGAAAAGATTCAGGGAATCTGGAGAAATCTCAGTCAGTACAGGGAAAGGCAGGAAACCTCTGTTGAATGTGTGTAACCTGTGAACCCTCAGATAATTGCCAGAGAAACCATCATGCTACGGTGTTAAATATAGCCATATGTGCTCAGGAGTATTTCGGAAAATCATTGTCACTTAACAGTCTGCCACTGCATCAAGAAATGCAACTTGAATCTTTGTTATGCAAGGAGAAATCCATACATCAATCCTATGGAGAGATGCTGCCGAGTTCTCTGGGCCCGAGCTCCTCTCAGATGATCCGACAGACAGTGGAAATGCGTGCTGTGGTCAGATGAGTCAGCTTGTTGCAGCTTGTTTTGGGGGAAAAAATACAGACATTAGACATTGATTTCTTTGTGCCAAAGACGAAGGGGCCCATCCAGACTTCTGTCAGTTCCCACGGGATGGGTGACTTGCATATGTGTGAAGGTACCATTGAGGCTAAGGCATATATTTGGATTGTACAGTGGCATCTGCTACCATGAAAATGACATCTTTTCCCGGGAAATCTGTGGTCATTAGAGTGAAACACTGCTAGGCCTCATTCTGCACGTGCTTCGACAGCGTGGTTCATAGACACAGCATGAATGTGCTTGACTGGCCTTGCCTGCAGTCCAGATCTGTCTCCTCTGTTACCTCCAACTGTTGAGGCTGGTGAAGTCTTGTATCAAGAGAGATTGGGCAAAAAATCCACTTGCAAAACTGCAGCAATTAATCTCCTCAGTACAGAAATGATAAAAAGTGTAATTAAAAGGAAAGGTGATGTAAGATTAGTTTTTGCAACAGAGCCTTAGAGGAAATCCCAGGGTTCATGCAACTGAAAGATGTTCCATGTTAAAATATCCTTGAATTTAATTCATATATTGAATTTCTGATTACTGCTGAAGCAGTAGCAGAGGGCAGAGCACAAAGTTCTAGACATATACTATGTGTTGGAGATGTTTAACTGATTTTGTGAAATATTTCTTGTTTGTCTTAGACAAAGCCTGGAGTTATTAGACCAGTTATTGCAACATCCAGATTTACAGATGATGAAGAATTCCACCCAAATCCTTTCAAGAGCCATCAAGGAAACAAATCCAATCGCTACCAATACAAGGTGCGTTTCTCTAAATAGTGCAGAGAACAAAAACTCAAGGGGGGGGAACCCTTTATGTTGCATATAGTTATGGTGTAAAATCTATAACTTGAGCAGTTAGCCGATGCATAAAAAGGGGTTTATATGCGACATATGCAATGCATAGGCATGCCACATGAAGGGGGTCATTATAGAAGATCGTAGACAAATAAGTGCAATTTTAAACATTTTAATGGGTTCATGCATCTCCTTTTGCCTACTAGCTCCATGCAATTAATTTTGCATTAAAGTGAAAGGCAATTCAATCTGTTGCAGTATTCCGTTCTTAAAAAATTTGCAAAACCAAACTGTACCATTTGTTACATTTGTGTTTATGTGCACACGCTTCCTATGTTGTTTTGGCACCAGACTTACAAAAGGAATTATGCAAATTAGGTAACAGTTTAAACCACAATATGCAAAATGCAATTTCAGATCTTGCAGGCAGCAGCAGAGCTCGCGATCTGTCGTACTATGCAGGCATATGCTGTGGAACCGGTATGGCCAGCACAGGAAAGTTAATATAGTTTGACATTTATGGTAACTTTTTGTTTGTTAATAATTAAATTACAATCTGTATATAAATGAATAATACAAAATCCAGTTCTTCCATTATCTGTTGGGGGCGTATATCAAGGAAAAGGGAAATCAATGGGTCAACATTCCATATGTACTTCAGAAGAGCCACTAGAAGTGATTTTTCATAGTAGCTGCTGGGTTGGCTCTATTCCCAGTGGGACCAGGAAGTGCACGTATCACTAGAATCCAATGTCATGCGCAATTCCCCACATCAGAACATCTATATAGCCCATAAGAAAAAATAAGATGCCGATAGACCTGACATATGCCTCTAGAAATCTCAGAGAGACCAAGTGTGTTATTCATGGAGGAAATAGACAGCGGTTCACTGCTTCCTATAATTCATACGGACATGGTTCTAGTTTGGTGTCATTTGTATGCCAATTGTATTTTCTCATGTGAGGGTAATTTTTTATTTTTTTTGTGAGAGCAGCTTCTCATTTTCCACAGGTTCACACGTCACTGAAGTCATTTACTGCTACAAATTGATATAGCACCCCATATCAAACTGTTTATAAATGCTGATTAATCCAAACCACAAAAATTGGCATCCATTTTTTTTTTTTTTATATATATTTTTCACATAAAATGCTCTTTTCATCTGACAACCTATTCAACTGAGGTGACTTTAATCATGCAAACTAATTATTTTTCCATTAAATTAAATCTTACTGCTATTGACAAAACAACTACTGTTTATAAAGAAATACGTGTTTAGTCTCAATGTCACAAAGTGCCATTAGTGTCCGCCATGCACCCTATGATGTACACTTACGCAGAGCTTGCACTCAGACGGCTGTGCAGCAGAATCACACATTGTGTGGAATGCTATGTCCCACAATGCAATGCAGCACAAAATCTCAATGCGAATACACATTTAAATATAAACCAAAAATGGAAGGTTCAGTCAGAAGCGTTGTGTGTACTTTGACATTTGCTCTGATCTCTGTAAACACTATCCCATTTTGCACTGTGCCTTCATTTTCTATCATTGTTCACCCTTCATTTGCCAGCAGTGATGATAAAACAACCATCAGAGCTCTCTAGTAACAACCGTGTGTACGTCACTCTTCCCGAACGCGAGCTTTTAAAATCCATCTGTGGTTGAGGATGCGGGTGTTTTGACACCTTAAACACTGTGTTTATCTCTTAACAGGCTTTTTATACAATCGCAGGCAGTAAAAGTCATCAAGATTTGTCACTAAACTATTGTCTTTGAAGGAGACTACAGAAAAACATGAGATCTATTTCACTCTCTGACGTGCAAACTTCTCCAGGCTCTCCTTGACCATGACATTTAAAAACAACTTCAGGCGTATTTGACATTCATGGCTCATTTCATTTCCTCTGAAATGGCGTATGCCTTTTGTCACATTTGCTCAATAATGTTTCTTTTGTGAAATCCAGAAGGCCCTAGTGAATGTTTCAGTAGCTGGTTGCACTATATGACTCTTATAGTGGAATTCTTATTGTTGCCCACATTTTTCACATGTCGTTTTGGCTGTGGAGAGAGAGAAGGCTGAAAAAACACAACAGTTGTGCTTCTGTCAGCTAGGATGATTTATAATTATTATTTTCTTTCAATCATTGTACATATACAAGGTCTATTTTTTCTTACTGTGTCCCCCCACCCTTAAAGGGTTAGATCACCAAAAAATGAAAATTAGCTTGTGTTTTACTTACCCTCGAAGCATCCTAGGTGTATATGACTTTCTTCTTTCAGATGAATCCAGTCGGAGTTATATGAAAAATTGTCTCAGCGGGTGTTGCAGTTGAACAGTCCACAAGTCGTCAAATAAAGCTCGCGCATTCATAATAAAACATGCCGCAGATGGCTCCGGGGGATGAATAAAGGCCCCCTGTAGCGAATCCAAGAGTTTTTGTAAGAAAAATATCCATATTTCAAACGTAATAAACACTTTTCTCTCACTTCCGCTGATTGTCATCCACTGAAGCAGTTCCGGCGGATGACGTAAGACGCGCTGCGTTGCGTGATTAGTGATGAATGCGCAGAGAGAACAAAACAAAACGCCGGTCACGAATTAGAAGTACAAACTAAGTAGATTTGCAAAGAAAAAAGTCTGTACGTCATACGCCTTCCGCCGGAACGGATCCGCGTATGATAGATAACGGAAGTGAGAGAAAAGTGTTTAATACCTTTGAAATATGGATATTTTTCTTACAAAAACGTATGGATTCACTACAGAAGGTCTTTATTCACCCCCTGGATCCGTGTGAGGCACGTTTTATTATGAATGCGCACGCTTTATTTGACGACTTGTGGACTGTTCAACTGCAACACCCGCTGAGTGCCATTAAACAGCTTGAAAGATCAAAGACAATTTTTAATATAACTCCGACTGGATTCGTCTGAAAGAAGAAAGTCATATACACCTAGGATGCTTCGAGGGTAAGTAAAACACAAGCTAATTTTCATTTTTGGGTGAACTAATCCTTTAATAACTTTTACCTAATTTTTTGAAGGTGCTGACACCTAGACACCCCCCACATAGACTCTTTGGGCCAGATTTACTGCACAGCAAACCGTCTTTTGGCATTAAAATAGTACTGTCAGGATTTACTAAAGACGCGCAGTGAAGAATTTGAGCTGAAAAGGTGTGGACACAGTTATTTTTGCACCTGACCTTATTGAATATGCATTTGTAGGAGTTTCCCTTTCAGACGCAAACTTTATGCGAGGAGAGTATTAAAATGAATCACGCAACTTGATTTACTAATATTTGCCCTCGTCAAATTACAGGTATTTACACCATTATTTAATTCCCAAAAAAGCACGTCTTAAAATAGTTTGTGCCTGTGTCGTAAGTAGCCTAGATCACCAGCACCTGATGAGCATCGGGTCTGCTTTTTTTGCCACTACGCTAATTTGCGCTGCGCTTGGTATATTGCGTTGGTCGATATGTAAATGAGATGTTGTGTCTGTGCTTTTTAATTTGATTGTTGTCAGTAAATCACCCGCAGAAATTTCAAAATTTCCCATCAGCGCTGTTTTGGAATTGCGCTCTCGCGCTAATTTGCCCTTTGTTTTTCTTAATTATTAATTATGCATGTACGTATACAATTGTATATGTAGTAATGCTCTGTTATGCTCCAATAATTAATTAGCTGAAAATCCATTTAAACGTAAAAAATCCTCATCCTATAATCACAATCAACTGCAACAGAAAATTCATGAAAATACAGTGATCCACAGGTGTGGGAATCTAGATGATTGGCAAATGTAAGTGAGCCGATCTGTCAACACATTCACAGTAAGGACGGATGGGGATTGTCCGTCAGACAGCTCTTCGTGAATCTAAGAGATGTTGGTCATTAATTTATAACCTCTAGCACTGTCAGTGCCATGGCGTAAAATGCAATGCAATGCTTCTGAATGGTTGGAAAGTTGCCTTATGACTAATATTGACAGTTTTTTTTTTGTGTGACTGAATGGAGTCTGAATAGACCACTTTTAAATGAAATAGTTAATGTAAAGAACTACTCCTCTGGCTATTCTGCTGTGACACTTGTGTAAGATAAAAGTGTTTCCTGAGGTGCACTAATAATCTTATTGATTGATTGATTGATTGAACACTTTCATAGTTAAGTCGTAAATGGTCATTTTCTACCATGAATTTAGCCTCTAATTTGAACTCTCCGGTGGAAGGGGTGTGTTTGTGTAAGAGTTCAATCAAAACACCCACTGCTGTGATTGGCTAACATTTTGCATATGAAATGAGCACTACATGGGGAATTCTCTCAAAAACTGCGTTTTTACTATTACAGCCGCCAAGATTAAAGGGGTCATATGATGCGATTTCAATTTTTCCATTCTCTTTGGAGTGTTACAAGCTCTTGGTGCATAAAGAAGATCTGTAAAGTTGCAAAGACTAAAGTCTCAAATCCAAAGAGATATTCTTT